CTGTGCCCCCTCCCAGCTTCTTGTGCACCTCCAGCCTTCTCAGTCGGTAGAGCATGGGAAGGTGGAAAGTCCTTGACTAGTGTAAGCACTACTTAGCAACAACTAAAACATCGGTGTGTGATCAACATTGTTCTCATCCTAAATCCAAAACACAGCACTGTACCAGCTACTAGGAAAGAAATTAACTCTATCCCAGCCAAAACCAGGACAACCTTTCAAAAATTTTCCTTCAGTATGGACTGGATCTCCTTTGCAATAGTTAATTATGTGTATGCAAAATTAATTCCTTAAATTTAAATGTTTTCTCTTATATTGAAACAAGCCTTTTTTTCAGAGGTATCGTAACATGGCCTTTGCAATTTCCAATCCATTTCTGGTGCATTTCTTCCATTTTTATAATTTCTCCCACTCAGTTTCTCAATCTTCCTAGTCTCAGTAAGCAAGCACTAGTTTTTCAAGCATGCACCATGCAAGTTATTGTGTAAACATTTTTGAGCATCTGTGTTTTAAACATCCATTAATGGATTTCTGAATAGGTAACTCTCTGCTCTACGACATTTGTATAGGTCTTGATGGCTGTTCCACTAATTGTTTTGAGACCCTCACAGAGCTCACATCCTTATTTCTTTCAGTTCCAACAGAAAGACTCCATAATTTATGTGAAACAGTTAATTTCTAAAATGCTAAATAAAAAACCCCAAACAAACCAACAAACCCTCTGTGGATTTGGCAAAAGAGTTTAAAGAAGAGCTTTAAACATCTGTCTGCCTTCTTTCTTGTATATTGGTAAGGCTGTGGTGGCTAGTATGGACATATTTGTGCTGTCTCAGTGTTTGAAAGAGTCAAAACACTTTGGTAGCATAATTCTGGATTTGTATAGATATAGATGACAGTATGTCTTAACTAGGCTCTTAATTCAAAATACAGTAAGTTTTTTATTCCAGATGCCAGACACAAACACCATGTTGCAGCTGCTCCAGCTTTCCAGAGAATGTGCAACACATTTTTTTGGAAGGTCTGTTTATCCAAGAGAGTTACTGATCAGAGCACTGTAGTACGTACTTAAAAGGACATCACTCTATATTTAAATGCACTACCAACTCAGTTAACACTGTATGTGATTGGAAAGCATTTAGCATAAAAGTGTAATCATGGCATTAGTTCAGTGGCACTCTGTGGATTTAACTTGATAGTTAATGTCTACAAGGAAGGGCTGGAGAGGAGACTCGGAATGATAGGGGACTGATAATGTTAAGTTTTATGTGATGGTGGGCAAGGCACTTAGGACTATGTATAGAAAATGCACTTGGACAGTGATGTGATGGTTTACGTCAATGCTCTTTCCATTGACATTAACGTATCTGCAGTTCATCGTACCCCTTTGTTTCTCCTTTTGCTGGTGTAGAAGCAGCAGCAGCTCCACAGGTGGTAAAGTGAATGGAAGAACTGTATTTCAGCTGTTTATATCTCTTATAG